GACAGATATTTTGGACAGTAAGATTGGAGAAGTTGACAGCCTGCTCATTATATATTCCATTGCATTCAGACAAGTTAATTTTGTCCTGACCATAAAAAAATGTAAGTAATAGTCAGTAGAATGACAGTGTTTGTAGATTACATGGGCATTTGGATAAACTGTTTTTTAAGGGTCGGTCCACCCAACACTGGCATTCTGTTTTTAGGGATACGAAGTTAAATCACCAGCCACACCCTTTATGTCTGATCTCTACCCTGTCATTGAAGGTGATGGTTCTCCTTTATTCCCTTTGGAATTCTGTAGAAGTGGCTGCTTCTTCTGCTCTTGCGGGCATTTGTCTGCAGGGCAGGGGGAACGGAACCAAGACTACAGCAAGGAGATGTCAACACTGTGGTACACATGTGATTTAAAGAACTTGGCTTGTGATTTTAACCCTTCAGGGCCAGTTCACTCCAGTCACAGTAAACAGGCCGGATCGCATTCCAGCCAGCTCACTTTGTCGTGAGGCGTGGAGGTGCATTGAAGTGAACAGCACTGCAGCCACATGGAAGGCATGGCACATCAATGCATGCGTTTTTGTTCCAGTCGGGATAAAAATAGTGCTTGCCGCATTTTTTCTGAATAGACCGGACCACAGGCATTGATGTTCCTGTGCGGCCAATCGCATTGCAGCCGGAGGTTTGGCTTTGCCGTTGAGTTTAATGCACTTCCACGCCCCAAAACTGTGAGCTGGCCAGAATGCGATCCTGTGCATTCTGGCCACAATCAGGCCGGAACACACTGAGGCTCGTGTGAACTAGCCCTGAGTATCTGCTAAGCTGTGGACTTTTAAAAGACGAGGTGCCGTAACCTACAGAAACCGGTCTTACTAGTATTTTATTTTGCAATTTAAACTTGCAAGAAAGGTAAAAGCTGGCTTCTGTGGGGTACTTCACTCCATAGCTCCGGACACTGCCATACTAAATAGGAGAGACTTCATTATAACAGGGCAATCACTTATGGTTTACTCAATACATTATACATGTGTCACAATTTTGACCTATATTAGGTCTCGCTAATCTGTACATAGCAACATGTTAACACACGATCAGCTCAAGATTTGTGGAAGATGTTCTGCCGGAACAAACGCCGTACCCGGACTGTTCCGTACTATGTTTTATATCTTCAGAGGCCCGTGCCGGACACGAGCTGCCACAAGACATTTCATATTGCATATGTTTTATGTCTTTATTAATGGATCTGCACATTGTACTCAGGATTTTTGATGGCTGAAAGAATGCAAAGATGCGTCATTCTGCTTGTTAAAATGATGAAACGAGACAGCCAGAACATATCAGTTTTATTGGTATATCCAAGCTGTAACTTTTTTTTTTTCCTCATTAAAGTATTGGATTTTGTACTTTATTTTCTTGTCTGTTTTTATTGATACACAATGTGATTGGCAGTTACAGAGCTGCTCATGTGCATAGTTGTAGCTCAGGAAGCGGGGCACATCTTTTGCTTTGCATAGATACCAATAATAAATCTACATAGTAGGGGAAGAGTTAGACCTTTTGTCAAGCTTTTACATGTATAAAATGGGGGAACCTAATGTAGAGGTTGGATGGATCAACAAAATATAAACTAAATGATACAATGGTAAACACTTCCCCGCTTGTCAGCTGTTATCTGTGTTCTAAATATGGAAGAAACGGGTTCCCACTTGACTACACAAGAGATCAGCAGAGAAACCATATGATCAAAAAAATTAGGGATTCACCGATACTAGCATCTGTGCCGATGCCGAATATTTGAGAGTACTCATATTCGCTCAAATGCTCTGATGCGTAGCCCGATACTTCGGTATCAGGAAGCCGGCTCCATGCTCTCTGGTCACCTAGTGACCAGAACCATGCGGATGGCTTCCCTGCTAATCGGGAAGCTGGGTGGCGACTCTTTACATACGGCCCGGCTTCCTGAATGGAACTTCGGTATCTGCGAGTACCGAAAATAAAAATATCGGTGCTTGATACCGGTATCTGTGCATCCCTAAAATAGTCTTCAAACAAATCTGGCAAAGTATAAAAAAAAATGTAAAACCATGATTTACCAAATGTGCAAACGTACCCCTCCCCCAACATTACCAAAACCCCTCCCTATAAAAACGCAACACGTGTAGGACCAGTTGGGTACCTGATATAGGCCTATATAGAAAAAAATTCATACAAATGTCACGTGTTAATATAAAGATATCCGTGTGGTGGTAATCAATTGTCTCAGTCCATGAAACGTATAACTCCAAAATCAGACCGGACAATAGGCACTGGATGTAATGTAGTCCAACTACTGGGTATCAGATCGGTGAATTTGTATCCACTGAAGAAAGTCTCAATAGACATGGTTATAGATGGAAGGTGAGTTAGCTGTGCTTCCTGTGAACGCACCCTGCTACACGGTATATCTCACTACTGTTGCATATGTCATTTTTCTTCATCACTTGTAAGAAGATTTTGAAGACAGAAGTTGTAAACCGCCAGTAGTAATGACTGCAGTTTGAATAAGCAGAAATATATATATATATGGGTGAGTGATTGTGTGCCCCATGAAGACACCCTAATGCACGATCTTCCCCACCAACTTGTGTATGGACATTTCCTTCCTCAGTAGTACGAAGACTTGGAAAGCAAAAACAGCAGAAGATGATGACATGCTGATCCACTTTGACAGAAATGTTTGATCGTAGAAAAATCAATTCAATCTGGTGTATAGTCACTACTGAGAAGGGAAGAAACGAGCGGAAGTGCATCTCGCCAATAAAGTTCATTCATCCTAAACTCCTCTGGACATTATTGGTGAGATCCACTTCAAGCTCTTTCCTTACAAATGTGTGGGACCCTAATGCTGTGCGTTCCATTGCAGTGAGACTTGGGTCGCGACTTAATGACGAAGGACAAATGTGGGTCCTGAGGTAACGCAGGTTGAGAACCCCAGCTCTACAGGGTATTGGAGTGTCTACTGGATTTGTTCCCTTTTTGGGAAGGATTTTTTTTTTCTAAGCAGCGGTCTACACCCATTGTGGGTTTTCCAGTGACCCACCTTCTCGGAAACCTCTGGGTCAGAGTTTGTTCACACCTAGGGGACACCTCACTGCGCGGCAATCGTGCACGATTCCGTGTCTTCGTGTGTTGCAAAACAAGGTACAGGTTCCTTCTTTTCTGCGATTGCCGAGCGGATGTAACCCCATTGAAATCAATGGGGCAGCACAGCAATCGCCTGCATTGTGCAGGACTGCATGACACCCAGGACGCGCGTCCTGGGTGTAGTGCAGTTGTGCACCTAGCCTTAAGGATTCTGTAGTTACCCCTTGAGGAATGGATGAACGGGTTATCGTGTCTTTGCTGAATTGATGAACAAGTCAACAAGCAAATAACTTATTTCTCATCCAGCTGGTCAGGAAAAGAAACCATGAGGCGTTGTGGAATGATGAATATTACAGAATGGGGTGATGTGGAACATGGAATTCATAGCACAGTGTACAGAATGAGGTGATTTAGAATAGGGAACGTTTCTTCTGAGAAAGGACCATGACATTAATTCAGCCCCAGCCATGAGATGATACTTACCTGATCCAGTTAATTTAGGATGCAATTGTGTTTTTTAGGACACGAAAAATGGACAATTGGTCTTGTGGGAAAAATCGATCTGAAATATTTGTGAAAGCTTGCATTGTCCTTAATCTCTTGTTTTGTTTTTTTGGAGCGGTGACTACTTTACATCACACAGGGACCATGGGGAACAAAAAGCAGCCCCCCTCCAGAAGGAAGGACAGTGTCACCACCAATTCAGAGATGATTTGAGGATCTACAGCCGAGTGATACACCAATAACATACATTTGTGTTAATAATTGAGGTACTTAAATACATTTTTATGAATTATCATTATATAGCGCCAACAGTTTGCGCAGCGCTTTACAATATAAGGAAGACATTACAATCACAAAGATGGTAAGGAGGGCCTAAAATCTAAAATTAACTCCTGAGTTTAGTGTCACCCTAAAGCAGGGCTCAAAATTTCAAGTCCTGAGCTACTAGCCAGGCCTTAAGGCTGGGTTCACACCTAGACGTGCGGAATATGCGCGTGTGCCACGCGATTTGCGGTAAAAGAAACGTGCGACAAATGCGTGTTTCTGAGGGCTATCCTAATGGATACGTGTGGCAAATACGCCCCAAAGAAGCTCCTGTACTTCTTTGGGCGTAGGGCGTTTTGCAGCGCGTTCCTACGCGCTGTAAAACGCCCAGGTGGGAACCATGCCCATAGGCAATCATTGGTTTTCACATGTTGAGCGTTTTACAGCGCGTTCCTACGCGCTGTAAAACGCCCAGGTGGGAACCATGCCCATAGGCAATCATTGGTTTTCACATGTTGAGCGTTTTACAGCGCGTTCCTACGCGCTGTAAAACGCCCAGGTGGGAACCATGCCCATAGGCAATCATTGGTTTTCACATGTTGAGCGTTTTACAGCGCGTTCCTACGCGCTGTAAAACGCCCAGGTGGGAACCATGCCCATAGGCAATCATTGGTTTTCACATGTTGAGCGTTTTACAGCGCGTTCCTACGCGCTGTAAAACGCCCAGGTGGGAACCATGCCCATAGGCAATCATTGGTTTTCACATGTTGAGCGTTTTAGAGCGCGTAGGAACGCGCTGTAAAACGCCCAGGTGTAAACCAGGCTTAAGAGTTACTAGCCACCAGTTGCTCCACCTTACCCTGCCCCGGCCTTAACTCTGCCCCTAAGCACACCCTCTTAAATAATCTTATGATAATTCTTATCTTATGATAGTTGCCGCTTGTAAACGGCAGATTAGGGATTCCTGCTGCAGGAAAACGCAAGTTCCTGACACAGGAATCTCTAATCGCACCTAAAATATACTGTAGGTGTGAATGGGGCCTAATATACACATACACTAAAGGTGTCCATACACCTGCCGATAATCGAGGGTGATCCCGCGATCGTACGATAATTGGCAGGTGTATGGGCAGCGTGCGACCGCTTCTACTGTACGGTCGTACGACTTTCGTCTTCCAAGCACGCTGGAAAACCTGCCGAAAATCGTACAATTTTTGGCGGGTTGGTGACGTGGTCGGAAGACAAATGCCGCACGGGCCGGTGTGCGCAAGCGCACTCTGCCCGCTCAGCACTGCAATCATCGGAAGCCCTCAGGAGGGCGGGCTTGCAATGATCACAAGTATGATCTGCCTGTCCAAGATGGGCAGATCGTACCAACTTTTAATGACCTTACAACCATCGCACAACTAAATTCGTGCGATGGTTGTAAGGTGTATGGGCAAAACTGCTCAACAACGTTACATCCCCCCCCCCCTGCACAAATCTAATAATAAAATTCCCCCCGCACACAAAAAATTATACACTTC